GGCCCAGCGCCATGTCCGGGCTGGAGGGAGGCCCCGCCTGGCTCCACGCGACCTTCGTCCTGGTTCGGTTTACGAGGCGCTTTCCTCGCCGTTTATCGCGGTTGCGGCACCACAGCCCTCGGAGGAGACGGGCGGCTCAAGGTCGCTGGCCCGTGAAGAGGGGGCCAGAGCCTGGGAACCTGCCTGCAGGGGGGAGCCAGGTGCAGCGCCCCCCGCTGTGGCCCCGGGAGGGCACCTGGGGGGGGTCCCCAGCTCCCCCAGAGGGACATGTTTCTTCTTTACAATCCTCACCCGAGGATATTTTTCCACTGATTTTTAGGGAGCGAGGGAGAGAGAGGGAGAGACAGAAACCTCGATGTGAGAGAAACACATTGATGGGTTGCCTCATGCATGCGCCCTGACCAGGGCCCAGGCCCCAGGCGTCAGGGCCCAGGTCGGGGAGGAGCCTGCAACCCAGGTACGTGCCCTTGACCCGAATAGAACCCAGGATCCTTCAGGCTGCAACACTGCCCAGGGCAGGACATGTTTCTTCAGATGCCTCTGCCCAGCGTTGCTCTGCCCGTCTCGTCCCCAGGACCCTGCAGAGCCGGGCACGCGCCCTGGGCACCCTCTGCTGGGTGGCAGCACCCTCACTCCCGTCTGTCCCCGGCTCAGGAGCCCCTGCAGGCTCCCCACGACTCACTCGCACCTGGAGCCGGCCCCTCTCCCCTGGCAGCCTCTCCCTGGGTGTGGCCGGGTGTTTCGGTCCTGCCCGGAGCAGCTGGTCAGCTCTTATCTGCTCCTGGGAGATCTGGTGCTGCCAGGCAGGTCACAGGGAGGTCACCCCTCCCGCCGCTGGGTGTGCCCGCCCGGGGGCCCCGGAATATTCCCGGATTCTCCCCAGCCCTCCACCCAACTCAGGGGAAACTGGCCTTTCCTGCTCTCCTGGGCCAGGTGGGCCCGTGGCTGTGTTTTGAGGGTTTTTTTCGATCTCCCGTCCGTTCCGGTGGCGTGTGTACGCCCTTCTCCCTCCCCCGTCGACAGCGCCCCTGCCCTGGGCGAGGGCGAGGACGGGATCACTCATCTTCCCTCCTCAGAGCAGGTGCCCGACAAATATTTGTTAAACAGCCGGTGGGTCCCTGTGCCCCCGCCACCTCCCCTGTGCTCACACTCACGCATGCACATGCATAGTCACACATGCATGCACTCACGCATTACAGTTACAACATGTGCACACACCAGCCACATTCACCGTCAGACAGTCACACGCATATGTGTGTACACGCGTGCAAACTCACGCACACTCACACGTCGGTCACACACATGTGCACTCACACAGTCACACGCACACAGCCCCCCAGGCTTGCTGGCCCGGCCCTTTAGTAACCTGCTCAGCTCCTCCGTGGGGCCCAGCTGACCCTCCCCCAAGCGCGGCCTGGCCTCCCAGGCACTGAGGCACCTGAGGGGTAAGCTGCCAGGGTTTTAGAATCAGGAGCTGACCCAGAGAATAGCTCGGGTCTGTGGCTTCTCTTAAGAAACCAGAGGATGTGGGGGATCTCACGTCTGGACCGCAGCCAGCCCCTTCCCCTGGGCGGCCTGCGAGGGGCCACCGCCCTTACCACTTACCGGAGGCCCCCGCTGGCCAGCAGCCTGGTCCCATCGGGGTACCGCTCGGCCCGGCAGAACCTACTCGCCATGCAGCAGCACTTCCTGTATTTCTTCCCTTAACCGGTCTCTCTACAGGAAGGACAGACCCTGAACTAGTCCCTTGACATCTAACCAGGATCGGCAGCTCGGACTCCCAGATCCAGGTCCACGGGCCCATTTTACAGATGAGCAAACAGAGGCTCAGAGAAGGCAGGGGACTTGCTCAAAGTCACATAGCAGGCCCCTCCCCCTTATTTATATTTTTAAAAAATATTTTATAGAGAGAGGAAGGGAGAGGGCTAGAGAGAAACATCAATGAGAGAGAGACATCGTCGATCAGCTGCCTCCTGCACGCCCCCCACAGTGGATCGAGCCCACAGCCCAGCCCGGTCTTGTGCCCTGACCGGGAATTGAACCGTCCGGTTCTTGGTTCCTAGTTCGACGCTCAGCCGTGAGCTACCCGGCTGGGCAGCAGGCCCCCTCATTAAGCACCTACTAGATGGCAAGCAGTGTGCCAGGCGAGTCAGGCATTCGTTCCTGATCTCCCTGTGAGTGTGCGCTGTGTGTCCGCTCCCTGCCCCGTGCAGGGCTGCCATGAGATGAGGCGCTGCAGAGAGCCCCCAGCAGGTCTGCAAGGCAGGACGACCCCTGGGGCCACGGGAGGCTGAGGCCTTAGGGAGGTTGGGGAGCAGCTCAGGCTTTCAGAGCTGGAAGCCCTCCTCCCTCCGCCCACCCCCGGCCCTGCTCTGAGAGGCGCCGACACCCACCAGGCCCCCTGCATTGGAGAGCTGCCCACGGACGGACGGACGGACTGACGGACGGGCCTGGGGTGCTGGGTCCATTAGGTCTGGTTCTCGGCGACTCCTCGAGTCTGGGGGACGAGAGTGGGTTTCGCGTTTCTGAGATCCTCACAGGCCCAGCTCTGAGGCCCGGCCAGCGCGGCTCAGGGGTTGAGCGTCGGCCTAGGAACCAGGGGGTCTCTGTTCCATTCCGGTCGGGGCCCGGGCCCAGGTTGTGGCTCGATCCCCAGTGGGGGGCTCGTAGGAGGCAGCCGATCGATGTTTCTCTCTCTCTCTCCTCCCTTCCTGTCTTTCTCTCTAAAATCATAATTGGGGAAAATTTATAATAGCTATGGAAAAAGAACATGAGAGAGGTGTCTGTCTCATGAACCTCCCCTCCCCTGCCCTCCCCTCCCCCTGCTACGTGCAGGGATGGGCCAGCTCAGCACCCGTTACTGGAACCTTCGTGTCAACTCTGGAGCCGGTCCAAGAAGCCACGCCCAGGGCCCCTCGTGACTCAGCCTCACCTGCCCGGCTCCACACCTGCCAGCCTCCGGGACCCAGGGAAAGTCCCGCATCCTCTGTCCACCCTCATCCTCCCCGGTGCTTGCAAGGCATGCTGGGATGTAGCGCCCTGACCTCACCGGCCTGGTCCCTTCCCCTGGTGTCTGGCCGGGGCTGGGTTCGAAGAACTAGACCCTCCGGAGGGGAATTGTTTGAAATGTGAGTGATGACGGCCCCGGCAGGTACTGACTGTCCAACATCGAAGTGTGGGGAGATCGCTGCCCCCCATGTCTGGAGCGGGCGAGGCCGGCCCAAGCCCTCGGCCCAGGTGTGCACCGGGGACCCTTTCCCGAGAAAAGCCTTAAAAAGCAGGGGGGCTGACCTAGCTGGTTTGGCTCAGTGGGTAGAGCGCTGGCCTGTGTACTGGAAG